AAAGAGGTATTTTAATCGTGTTTAATTAAAATATTATATATTAATTTTATTATATTATTATTTTTTATAGGTTCATATCAGAATAGCTTCTCCTCCGCTACGCTACCCTTGCTTCATGGGTATCAATATACCGACAATCAAGGAGTTAATCGCAGACAAATTGAAAAGTACAAAACTTGCAGAACATGTCAGTGAGTAACTCACCTCCTATTATAATTAATAAAATTTTAATATTCAACTTTTTTTCAGGTGCTGACAGTTTAATGTATCTTTCAGTCGAAGGATTAAGGACAGCTGTCAGATGTCAAATTAAAGAAAAAGACCCCGATAAAATAGGCCACTGCACAGCTTGCCTTACTGGTGAATATCCAGTGCCTTTAGAATGGTGAAAGTTATGAAATATCAAAGTTGGTGATTTTGTTACCTTTTCCCAGTTGTTTTTACTTCTATAAATTGAAACAAAACTGGGTAAATTCCTATAAAGAATACTCATTTATGTTAGAGAGGTGATGTTTTAATGACAATATTGTTAGGATAGTGCAATAAAAAAAGTGTAGATGTATAATTGACAAGATGTTGAAGTAAACACACAAATTAATTTTACATAATTTTTTATCAATTAAATTCTAATTGAAATGCTCAAACATAAATCACGATTTTTGTATAAGGCTTATTAATTTATTTAAAACTAATTTATTGTTAGCCAATATCACGATGAGCATGAGTCGATTTGATGTAATAGTTTAATATAAGCTAATTTGTTAAATATTTGTATAATACATGTAATGAAAATGTGAAACAAATAAAGTGTAAAAAATGTTTGTTGTTTAGTGACCAGTTGTTCAATAATTTGGTGAGTAGTGAGGAGAGGTGAGGAATGAAGTATTTTAGAAAAACGACTTTTTCATTTTTTTGTCAATTTGGGTCTTCAGGGCCAGGGTGAATTACAAAACATATGTCGATTGGAAAAAATAATTACACAATACAAAGTAAATAATATAACATTTGAACCAGATATTTTATAATCTCCACACTTTATGCAAATGGTCGATAATGACCAAATTACGTCTTCATCACATTGATATAAAAATCTGTCTGACTCATATTTGCACTCTAGCAATACTGGGTTTGAATCCCGGCATAGCCCATAGAATTAAATTGAGAATAATATAAATAAAAATATAAAGTGGTTTGACCCCTCTTCCACACCGCATGGGTAATTGGACTTTAAACCCAATCATTAAATTCACTAATTTTGTGGTCCGCTTGACCAATTAATATATTACAATTAATTAAGGTTTTCAGTTGAGATAAAAAAGTCAATGGCACGAGCGGGATTCGAACGCCGCTGCTCTACCACTTGAGCTATTGTGACCTCGATCTCCTCTGACACCAACTTCCCATCTCAACCCCACCTTTTGAATTTTCCCTCCTTTTTGCCATTTTTCAAAACTTCACTTTAAACCCAATGATGACTGGAATTTCAACAAAAGGGCACAACTGAAAACAAAACATTTTACAAAATGATAAAGCATACATGATACATATTTTACTAGTACATGATATTAAGGTTTTCCTTAATGATAAATTTGATTGGTCAACTCATTCCATAATTTTTGTCTTATAAATTAAACATTTTTTTTCATTCAAATAATTTGTCTAGGCTTTAAATCAATCTGATTTGTTTTTAACTATAACTTATGCAATAGTTTATTCTATTTTTTTCTGAATGTTTCTGAAACTTATTGTAATGTTTTATTTATTTTGTTCTTGGAGGAACATTGATCCAGAAAATATTAATAAAACATTAAACAAATAAACCATTCATTTCTGTCACTTGTATAGTGGAATAAATCGCCCTAATTAAAACAAATGCCTTCATAAGTGATATGTAATTGTTTTTTCTTCTTTGCTTCAAAATTCTTCCTTATTGACCAGGTTGAGTAATTCATTTCCACTTTCATATTCTGTGCTCTTGTAGAATTGGTTCGAACTATATTAAATTTTGAACAATTGACTTGACAGAAGACACCAATTTCTCGTTATGAAGAAATTATGCTGAAAGAAAATATTTCATTAAAATTTTAGTAAACCTTTACTTACCTAGCTAATAATCATTTAGAATCTTGCTAATATGCTAATATAATTTATTTGAATATGTAGTGAATAATGTAAGCCAAAATAGGATTTCTACCCATTTCCAAGTAGAAAATATATGCAAAGAAAAAAAATGGTTTGTAAGAAAATTAAACAAAACACCAGAAAATAATTTCATGATTGAGTAAATTTAATTAAAAAATTATTATCTGGCTTTGCCCTTAGTAATGCATCAAGAGCATAATAGTCTGTGAATAATCAATCATGTTTTGGGGTAATGGAAACAACCTTATTCTAATATGTAACTTCATTATAACCTTGTATTATATAATTTAGTTTATAAATTATTTAATTAAATATTTTCATGCTGTGCCCTGAATGTGAATATGAATGTCTTAATTGTTAGGTTTTTTTTCCCCAAGTCCACAAACATTATCAGATCGGCAACTGTAGCTAATTAAATCAAATGCTACAGGTTACAATCTTATTCCTATTAATACGATTATAATTATTTTTCCCTTCCTTTTATCTTAAAATACGTAACCCTCATTTCAAACTTCTCTCTCACCTCATCCTGTTTTCTTTCACCCTGGCAGGAAGCACTAATCCTGCAGATCCAGTCATCTGAGTTTTTAAAAACGATATGAATTTTCCTGACATGAATTCTTTTTATATTCCCCGTTTCCTTGTATTTTCTTTTTCCTTCTATTTGTCTTTCTTAATTTGATTTCATCATTCAATTATAAATAATTAATACTTAAATAATTTATTATTGTCATGTGTTTTGCATATTTTATTATTATTATTTTACTATGATTATAAAACTAAATTTATTTCTAAATGTGTACATGTAAGGGGCTTAACATTTGTACCTATAAATAAAATAAATGTTCTATCTGTGTATAAAATATTACACCTTTTATATATTACTAGCTTTCTATATTTCTAATGTGATACAGCGGGCTAGTATGACTATAATACGTCTCGTTTCTCAAATTCTTATCTTCTTCAGTACACTTTGGTCTACACTTGGTAAAAAATTGTCCATCTGATCCCCTTACGGATGGAATTTCAGAATATCCTTTCTTAGCACCTATCCATGTCATTATAGGAATGCACTATCGAAATTTCAACCCTTTACATCCAGTGGTTTGGTCTGTACGTTGTCTGTCAGTCAGTCACGGAACTGTTTTTTATATACAGAAGACAATATGTTAATTGTTATTAGTCTTGGAAAAATATTTTTACATTATTGTGCTGTCTGCATTTAATAACCGTTAAATACATTACGAAACGTAAGCTATTGTTAGGAATAGTAATAATAAAATGAAATGAAATCTTTTCGTGTCAGACAGGGTTTTTTTAAATTTTAGCGCTATTATTACACTAAATTTTTTTTGGCAGTTATGTGGCAATATTTCAATAGAGATAGTTATTTATTAACACACGTTAATTGTTTAAAGTTTAAAATTAAAGATTCGATCAGTTTGCTAATTTATTAATAATGGTATTCCTTAAATACTTCTTAGTGCAGTAATAGTGTGATACTGTGATCAAGTTGACATTGGCTCAGCTGTCCCTTTTGGTCGAGGTGTTCGTTTCTCGCGTGCCATTGAGGCAGATTATTTGCTATTACAATGGTAAGTAAATTGCAAGTTGTCCAACTAAATTGAAGTACGATTAATTATTTGTTTATTGGTTCGATCGGTTTTGGTTATTTCGTGCGGATTGCCCTGATTCCACTGGATTTAATTCTTGTCGCGGGGCTCGTGCGACGTGTTATTTCTTGGTTATCCGCACCACTACCTTCTCGCGCTCCTTACACCGTTGAACTTTTTTTCTCTCGAAAGTAATTTTATTTATATCGTACACTAGGGTTTCGTCAAGGTAGTCAAGAACAAGCAGTACTTTAAAAGGTTCCAAGTCAAGTTCAAGAGGCGTCGTGAGGGTAAAACCGACTACTATGCCAGGAAGCGACTTATCGTCCAGGACAAGAATAAGTACAACACCCCTAAGTACCGACTCATCGTTCGGTTTTCCAACAAGAATATCACCTGCCAGGTATTTATTACTGTGATTTAACGATTGAATGATTTAGAACTGTATGTTAATGGCTGACCCTTGTACGTTCCAGGTTGCGTACAGCAGGATCGAAGGGGACAAGATAGTCTGCGCTGCGTACAGTAAGGAATTGCCCCAGTACGGTATCAAAGTTGGTCTCACCAACTACGCTGCGTCATACTGCACTGGTCTTCTCCTTGCAAGAAGGGTAATTTAAATTTTATTTGACTTTATTACATCTGGTTTGAAAATGTATTAGCCTACATCACTATGGTTTATGTGGTTTCAGTCTTTTCCATCATTGAATGATCATTTAGATGCATTTGAACATTTCATCTCACAATTAGGGCTTATGTTTGTTATTTTGAAAATTAAAAAAAGAAAAAAGAAAGAAAGAAAGCTAATTTTATTTAATGAATACAAAACTATAACATATTTAATGCAAAAAAGTTTTATAATAAAACTTTTTTTTGGCCGTTTCCTATAATTGGTCTGCCTTTCCTGGCACATTCATGAAAATGGCCAGATGCTGGAACAGTGAGGGTAGGCAGACCAAAATGCTCTGAAACGACCAATGAACAGGTTCATTGCCCTTGAACGACAACCGAAACTCACAAATCGATGAAAATGTGGATACTAGGAAGTGGGGTGTGCTCTCCAGGCACCACAGTCTTCTGGCTTATCGTACCTTCCTAGTTCTCTAGTTCAGTGTGATCGACTCAATCCTCATAAGTATTAGGTTATTGACTGTTGCTGGTACAATTTCATTCCCTAGGTTTTTTCTGTATGTTAGGTTATGTCTTATAATGAGCCATTGCTTTGCCTTCGAAGATGATGTAAGTGACTGTTTCTTCCTCCTCATTACATAATCTGCAAATGGGATCATAATTATATATGTCCATATTGTGTAAATGTTTTCTCAGTTGCCAGTGACCAGTTAATAGTAATCCTACCACTCTGAATCTGGCCCTCTACAACTGTAGCAGTAAGTTTGCCAGACTTGGTGAGGGTTTTTTTTTTTTTTTTTTTTTTTTTTGCTGCATTGACCTTTTGTCTTCAGCCATGTTTGTTATTATTATTATTATTTTTTAATTTGTTCTCTATAAATTATTTATAAACTGCAACGAGTTCGTTTGACAAAATCGACCAGAGCCCGATAAATATCGAAGTCTTCTGTACATATTAAGAATTTATAATTATAAGGTTTTGCTATTTCGCACTGGTCTATCTCACCGAACATAGTCTTCCTTTCTTCATCATATTTTTTGCAATGCCATACTNCATCGATCGTAAAAGAAGCGTCAAGTTCAAACTTCCTTCTTCTCGTAACAGGCATTATATAGGATTTGGTTCTTGATATTTTCATATTCTTTCTCCTGGCCCAATCTGTGAATTTTGTAATGCTATCTTCCAGGCTGAGTCTACATGATGCGATATTTTCTCCTTCTGAATAGATACAGATATCATCAGCTAACTGGACTATTTTTGTTTTCTCATTCAGAATTTAGTCAACATCACTAATGTATAGTGCGAATAGATTTGGACTTAGGATATCCCCCTGGGGTAATTGGTCCAAAGAGTTTCTTCCCTACTTTTACGGTTATTTAACGGTTTTAGCATAAGTTTACAGTGACTAGCACCGCTAGAGTTTATCCACTTCTTTTGTTTTATTTAGATCCATTCTGTGTTGGAGGAATTCTTAATTTGTTTTTGTTATCCCAAGTATAGGTTCAGTGACCTTTGTATGGTCTCGTGCAGATCCTCCTTCGGTTAGTGTGTTTGCTTTTTCATAACCCAAAATTCCTTTGTGCCCGGGCACCTAAGATATCAGGTTGTTGTTTCCCCAAGTTTTGGGGCCATTTGTGTTCCATATCGTTATTTCTGATGCTCTTCTTAGTTCTTCCTTTCCTTTGTAGTCTGTTTTGACTATATAGGATGTAAAGAATGTTTCGGGATCATGTAGTTAGTCCCTATTTCTAAGGGGGTGTATGATTTTGTTAGTTATGGTTGCGGGCCCAAATTGTTTAGTTCTCATCCAATTTGATATCTCAAAAATTAAATTTTGAACCTTTCTCAGAAAGCAGGAATTAGTAGGTCTGTATGACTTGTACTTACATATTTACATGGTAATGCAGGCCTTTATTGATAGCTGTGCTGAATTGATTAATAGATTTGTTATGGGAGCTTTAGTCATCTTCAGACTAAGTGGTTTGGTTGATAAGTTACCTAGTTGGCTAAACCAGATTACTGCCTTGTGAAGGCTTTTCTCGACTGGTTTCACACCATGCCACTTGTGGAATGAAATTTTCCTAGTAGGAAGTCTGTATGGGGTTAGGATCAACCTGTCAAAAAAAAAAAAAAAGATTCATCCTTTGTTACAAAATCAGGAAACACACATTTTCACTACTGCCATGCCACTTCCTTTCACCTCTTTTCTCCTTTTAATTTGTAACCTTGTATTGATTCAACCAGCAGCTTGCTTTGCTTGTCACTCGCCTGAGGCAATGTGAATGCATGTGCATGTGAAGTGGTTCGGCCGGCTCCTTGACACCTGTTTGTCCAACAAGTTGAATCAACTAACCCCCTTCTTTTGGCCTTAATTGATTTTAATCTGGAATGGGACCCACAATACATACCATTCTGTTGCTATCAAAAATGCTGTAACTTTTGAACTGCTGGACCGATTTATTAAAGAAATAGGGCAAAGGATAAGGAACAATACATGGGGACTGGTGTAAAAAAGATGGCAGTATTCCGAAGAAAAGATTGTGTTAGCCATGGTAAATACGTTAACGGGTTAAAATCACGTCGGCCAAGTTGACAAGTATTTCAGTTATCATTTTTGTGATTTATAAAAAAAAATCTAAAGCATTCAGAAAGCCAAAACTTTTAGGGGAAAAAATATTTTCTGAATTTCACAAAAATTTGAATTTGGAAGTTTTTGGGGGTGTAAAAAACTAATATCAACTTTGTTTCTTCCTAAACAAATAGCAGAAAACTAAATTGATATTCATTTAATTGGTCACATCTGTAGCCTCATTTATAAGGGAATAACAAATTTTAAATGTGACCTAAATATATAATTTGTAAGTTTTTCTCTCAAAATCATTTCTATTTGTCGAACAGCTTCTGCAAAAGTTGAAACTCGACAAGCTGTACAAAGGTTGCACAGAGGTTAACGGTGATGAATACAATGTCGAGTACTCTGGTGAAGGCCCAGGTGCTTTCCGATGTTACTTGGATGCTGGCCTTATGAAAACTAGTGCTGGCGCTAGGGTCTTTGGAGCTCTTAAGGGTGCTGTCGATGGAGGACTCAACATCCCTCACACGTAAGCTCATACCGTAAAGTAATATATATTTAAACTAATCCATGCCGTTAACTTTAGCACAAAGAGGTTTCCTGGATTTGACGCAGAGTCGAAAGAATTCAATGCCGAAGTTCATCGCAAACACATCTTTGGAATCCATGTATCTGACTACATGAAGCAACTCCAGGAAGAAGACGAGGAAGCGTACAAAAGACAGTTCTCGCAGTATATAAAACACAATATTTCTCCTGATTCAGTATGTCCCTATATTTTACATTTATATAATAAATAGATTTTTTAAAATAAATTTTTATCTAGATTGAAGAGCTTTACAAAAAAGCTCACGCTCTTATTCGTGCTGATCCTGAGAAGAAGAAGGTTGAAAAGAAACAACCTGTCACCAAGAAGAGATGGAACAGAGCTAAATTGTCATTGGCCGAGAGGAAGAACTCCATCGCCCAAAAGAAAGCTTCTTTCCTCAAGAAGATCGAGGGAGAAAAGGAGGCTTAAATAAATTGGCTTTTAAGATTTTTAATAAACAAGATGTTTCTTTATTATTATCGTTGTTTAATATGGTTTTCAACCCTTTTTATTATCAGTACTAGAAAAACTTAGACTGAGCTTTACCTTTAACCTTCTAATGCTTGCACAATGTACCACTGTGGTAAAATGCTTTAGACTTGAAAATAATGATAACCAATGTTCCTTCTAGATGCCAGGTGATGTACAAAAATAACACTTTTCAGCCAACCAAACTCTCTTAGAATGTTAGACAAATTCATTTCGAGCAGCCATCAGTGACTGCTACATATATATTCATCCTCTGCCAAAAAGTGCTTTTTAATTTTTTTTTTTTTTTTCATCCTGGATTACGATTGATTCAATCAGTTTTTTGGTATGTATTACATTTACAATTGATTTTATCTATTTAAAAAATCAAAATAACTTGCATGCATTGTTTTTGTTAGTTTACAACTATGAAGCATAGTTGAGAGATCCAGAGAAAGCTGTTAAAACTTTTGTTTGTGCCCATAGTTTTTCTTCTGGATTTGTTTGGTGAGTTGTATTCACTGATATTTTTCATTTCATTATTTTTTAAAATAATTTTTATTTTATTACCTTGTGATTTAAGGTTCAATTAATTTATTATTTAATTTTGCTTTATTGTTTTCAACACAATGAACTAACATACATAACCATAAACAGTATTACTATATGTATTAACCAGTTTACAACGTCCGTTTACAAAAAATGATGGACAAAAAATTGATCATGGAACAGTTACTGGTAACAATTTTACAGGTGTTATCTGTTAAGTTTTTGTTAGTGAAATCTTGTTTAGAAATATTTTGGAAGCTAACAAAGTTATGAACAAAAAAATAGTGATGTTCACTTAATATTAAATTTTATAGATTTGCAATCATTTTGGTCTGTTCTGCCTCATCCTTACAGGTGGGTATGGTCAGAAAGCAAAACCATACCATGCTGTTGATGGTCTTGTTATTGACCAAAATAGCAAGGATGAGCAGACCAAAATGACTAGACTACAGGTTTATAATCCCATAAGGTGGCGTTCTAAAGATGAAATTCACAATTTTCAATTGAATTTTTTTAAACAAATCTGGAATAAAGAGGAGAGGCAGATGCACCTGAAATTGAAATAACTACCAATTAATTGTTTTGGATGTTTATCGACCTATAATCCAGAAGAAAAACTGGGCTCAAAGAAAAGTTTTAACAGCTTTCTTTGGATCTCTCAACTATGCTTAATGGTTGTAAACTATCAAAAACAATGCATGCAAGTTATTTTGGTTTTTTAAATTAAAGTTAAAATTAATTGTAAATGTAATACATACCAAAAAACTGATTGAATCAATCGCAATCCAGGATGAAAAAAAAAAATTAAAAGACTTTGGCAGAGGATGAATATATCGAAATTAAATTTGGGTGATGAGATCTTTAGAGGTCATATGATACCTACAATATTTAATTGTAATCTACTTATTGAAAATAAGCTGATTGCATTAATTGAAAATCACTCAAATGGCAGGGAGCCAACTAAAAATGCAAATCAGAACAACTCATAAGCCTAGACTAGCTAACCTTAATTATATTTGATAATTATGGACAAAAAATGGGTTACCGCAACTCCCTAAACAAACTGCAATCACCTATAAAGATGTTACAATTTTTTTTGCTTTATTTATAACTGACAAATTTTTTGATAACTGTAATTTGATTATAGTGGAATGAGGTATAAGATAGTTGTGAAAGTGGTTTAAATGCACTGGGCAGACTGAATTAAAAAAGGATTAAGGTAGATCGCCGTTCTGATCTGCATCAGTACTCATGGCTTTTAACAAGATCCCAAAGCTTTTCAAGTACACCTGTGTGTATCCTTTTTTCCTTGCTTTTCTTCTCCCAGAAGTAGGAATATATGCCTTCGCACTAAGAGAGGACGCTCTCTGCTGTCTCTTCTTCTTGGCAATATCTGCACAGGTTTGTTTCTGCCACTATGAGTATATGATATAGGAGTGTGCAGTGTCCAGTTACTATTATTCTAGTCCTAACACGTCCTAGATTTAGCAGTTCTACTGTGCGTTTCTGTGATGGTACTTTGGTGTACTTTTCACATGCCTCTGTCTTGGTTGATTGATTTTTTGATTGCAATACTTTTTATTTTGGCTGATGCCGTGCCTGTCTCAGGCTACTCGTTGATCGGAGGACTTATTTATCCGTTGTCTGATGGATCGACGTTTTTGGTAGTTTGATATGCCACAAAGCCAATAGGTGTCCTTGTCGAACTTTACTTAGCCAACTTCTTGGACGTGTTGGTAGGTCTTGGGATATGTGTAGTTTTTATCCAACTAGGGCATTTCTTTGTATTTTTAGTTCCTACAACCTGGACATAGTCGGCAACACCGGGGCCCATCAAGCCTCATTTACAACCCTCCAGTACAAATTGATGTTAGATTTAGCAAAGGTTCGATTTAATCAATATCAGAAAAAAACCCTGCGATTATTGTAATTTTTGGCTATAACTTTATTGGCGAAACAATTTGAACGATTAAACAGTAATAACATGATATTGGTTGACACGGCATGCCTGCGAATTTTATACATATTCAATTTGTATATTATATGTACGGTTGTATCTTTTCTGGACGAAATTTAACAGCATGTACAAAAAGAAAGGGTCTTTGTTATAATGGGAAATACATAAAACAAATTAATTGCCTAGAAAATTTATAAGCAGGACAATTGTGTGGCTGAATTAACTAGCAAAGACGGTCGAACTGAAAATTAAAGTAAATCTGTAAGCTAAAGGTGGAGAAAAACAATCTGAAAATGATTCATATATAAATTTCATTTTTGAATATTTTACCGAATGCGATTTTACAGCCTTTTCTTTGTAGGACCCGCGCGCACCAAGAGTGTAAGGGGGAAGCTGATGAATAATGTAAGAAAAATTCTGCATGGTATTGCAGGCGTAGCGTAATTACTAAATTATATGTCTATTAAGATCTTACCCCGAGGCCTTCGCGGCAGAAGTCACGTAACATTTCAAACATGAGTGCTTTTTTTCCAACTCGAAAGAATCATGATCAAACTGATGAGCATAGTGACCAATGAAATACCGGAAAAAGTATGATTTTCCGCAGCCAGCCTTTTTATTTCTGGGTATCATTAAGGTGGAACCTAGAAAACTTCAATAGTCAGGAAATTTGGTTTTCAATTCAATTTTTAATTTCATCGTATGAAAAGTGTTTTTGTTTTATCGACTTAAACGGATCTGTTTGAAGTTTGAAGGCGCTATGGTGCGAATATGGCTGGTCGGTGGGTGCAAAAGAACGGACGAAATACGTGGGATTGACCTGCTGAAAACAGTATTTGAAATAATTGACCGTCTCGTTCCTGTTGGATCCCACCAAATGGTAAGCGGGTTCGTTAACCGCTTTTGGCCGTCCTTTTGGCTTTACCGACTATCTCTGCCTGGAGTTTTGTACAAAACCAAAATTTTTATTCAGTTAACTTCATTGGTTTCCATTTTGTAACAGACAAAACCGATGAAAGTTTGAGAAGATAAAGTTTACATAATTTTTCTTCCGAGGTGAGAAAAAGTACGATTTTCTAAATTTTTCCCTTTCAGCCAACTCCCCCCATAAAGGGTCTTCATCTTTAGACCTTTTCTGCTGAAAAACTTACTTATTTACTATTGTACTGAAAGATTTTTACCGACAGTTACAACAGCAATACAGCGTTTAAAAAAAATCTGTTTCCATTACACTTTCCAACCCTTTGTGGCACTGTGGTTGAAGTTAATTGGTGGAAATTCATTTCAATTTCGTAACGTTCCTCCAACGAACACTTTTAACTGGAAAATCCGACTAGGCTCGTCGTAAAAACTTTTCTCAAATCTTACAAAAGCGACTTCCTAGTTTTTCTCCACCGCTTGACGCCGTCATGCTTCAGGTCCTGGAAAGACTTCCTTATTTTTTTTTCTGTCTGATTGACAATTGGGTATTTACAAGGTGATACATACCTCTTAGGGAAATTATTTCACTGTCGATAATGGCCTCAAGGCTGCACAATCTATCGTGCTTTGGCACATAGTTACATTTGGCTCGAATCGCTTCACTGAGTTGTTTCATAATAGGTTTTGATAAAGTATATTTTTTACCCAACAAGGAATTGTTTTGTACCTGGTGCGAGAAAAAGATATATAAAGTCTTTTGGTGTATTTTATCTGTTCGTATTTATAGGCCATTAATCAACGTTTTTATTTCCTAAAACCATCCATGAAGTCTTATCAAATCAGAACTTCACGCAAAATTCTGGTGTTATATGGTCTAATAATAGGAACAAGTATATATGTAGTTATAAAAGTCCACGCATAATAATAATACTGTAAACAAAAACGGCTTAGATTTCAAGTCCTGTAAAAGTAACTATTGAACCCTAACTGTTGTTCAAAAAATCATCAATTAAATATAAGGAAGGGTTGAACGAGATTCAATCAAATAAATTATTTATCCTTGTACTGACGCACAACTTCAAAGAGAAAAAGAAAAGAAAGTGAAATTTCCTATGTAAAATCGTCTGTTGATGTAATTCTAAGAAAATGCTTGTTTAAACAATCTCTTATTGACTCGTTGACGTAGCCAAACAATCACACTATCAAGAAAACGTTTAAGGAAATTAAATCTTTAAAAAAATAAACATATTAATATTTGCTAAACATTTGATTAGAACAACATATAGCCGTTGGAACCATTTGCATCTTCACTGACATCCAAGAATTTCGTAGAAACTGATTAATTTTTGTAATGGAGGACAGATGTTAAATTTTCTGTCAGGCACTACTTGGCAGTACAAAATACCTACACTTGAAATGAATTACTGATTACTCGAAAGACTCTAATTTGGATTTTTTTTTGTTAATCTTTTGTTAATAGTTCTTGTACCAAAATTTGACTAAGCATCAAAAATGCCTCTTTTAGTGAATATTGAAAGGCTATTGAATTCAAAATCGGCCCATTTAGAAAAGTCTTGGACTA